TTTTTGTGTTCACGCATTTGAAGTCGGTTTTATTTTTTTAAAAAGTTAATTATTGTTTAACTGTTTTTGGTTTGTCTAACCAACTTGTCTATTAATAACAGGGCAAAAACGAATCCCTCCGAGCGCGAGCCATCTTGCGCTCTCTTGTGCCGCTGGAAGACTTGCAAGGCGTGCTTAGTCTCCGCTTCACGCTGAACAACCCGGCTGCTGGCGAGGAGAGACCTAAATCAGGTAATTAGAAAGAAAGAGAAACTAACTACTAAAGTAACTTTTATCATACCATTTACGTCACTAAGTAGTAACTTACATTTCTTGCAAGCTGTGTATACCTTTAAGTGTCGTTGTGTATTGCAATTTTGCTTCATATTTTGCGTGTTTGATATATTGTATACTAGCTTTCCGGCCACGACTTCGCCCGCGTGAAATTTTGTCTTTCACAGCAAAACATCTTTCTCCTTAGTAGGTTTCTTTTAATAACGCATCGTAAACCTATCCAGAGACCACAACTTCAATATATCTATAAATTCATTAGATCAACTACCTATAGGCCTAGGATACAAATAAGTTTATTGTGCATAATGTTACAATTTGTACAAACCGAAAAATAGTTAAATAACTAACTGTATCTCTTATTTAACTTAAAACTAATTTTAAAGCAATACAATTTTATTAGGAAAATGTAGGTAGGTACAGAAACACAATCCTTTACCTTCCGTACTAGTACAAGACTGTGTTACGGCAAGGTAAGGATGCACGCCGCGATAAACTTCCATCAAAGCATTTTATCGATCTCGCACGATTACATTGGAATAATATTTTATCATGGCGCGCATCCTAGCTCGGCTGAAGAATAGGCAGTGGCTGGGTGAAAAAGCGGGCTGTCGGTCGGTTTATGTCCATAATTGGACTTGTCTTGACTTTGTCTTTCGTGGTGACGTTATCGTGTATTTGTTGTTATTATTATTATTCTTGTTTCTCCCTACAGATATGCCTTCAGGCCTGATCCCCGGTCACAAGCAGAGCGTGGGTCTATTCTTGGAGCGAGTGTATGGCATAGAGACGCAAGAACTGTTCTACCGATTATTAGAGGAGGCCTTCCTGCCTGACCTGAGAGCAGCCACTATGCTGGACAGGGTAATGTTGTTACTTGTCTTTTTGTATAACTATACAGGGTGTGTTTTTATAGTTAATCAAACAAAAAGGGTTCTACTACTCAAGTACTACTTTTTCTATAGGACCAATATCAAATTCTCAACAAAAAATTGTCATCATTGAGATTCTATTAAAGGATTTTTTAACAAGTATTCTTGACTTTTTTAACATTAAGTTCCATGGAAAAAGTTGTTGGATTAGAGTAGTAAAATCAATGCTTTTTGTTTGGTCAAGTATAAAAACTATGATGACTTATGGAGAAATATGTGGACAACAGGCCTCCATATTTAAAAAACTCATAAAACTCATTTATTTCTGTAAATAGGCTTAAAAAGCCTTTTACACGTCCCAGTTATTATCCCGTTTATACGAAAATACCCATGTGTGACGTCACTTGGAGGTCCAGTTTTTCAAAGTCAGATGGAATAATTTTTAATTGTATTTAAAAGAAAATCTTACATTGTAAATAAAAGAAAAAAAGCCTACTTTTCTTACCGTTTGTATCACTTACTTCTTTCTACAGAACGACGGCTGCGAATCGGATATGGCTTTATCGATGAATCGATACATCGGCAACTCGATCCTGCCGCTGCTGATCAAGCACGCCAACTTCTACAACGAAGCTGAGAACTACGCCAGTCTGTTGGACGCTACATTACACACTGTATATCGGTAAGTATCGATTGTTAATCGATTGAATAGTATCGTTAGCTTTTGGCAGCTCTAAAATGAAGAATATTTTACCGTGTGGTAAATGAGCACCATTGTAAGAAAATTTTAGTACCCTATAAGTCATCTATCACCCGCCTTTCACTGAAAGAAAGTCGATCCATAAATTTAATCAAACTTTCCTATTATCTTCTGATTTTCTTTTGTTGTTACACCAATATGTTTTTGTTTATGAAATACAATTTTTAGGACTGTGTACAACTTCAAGTAGGTAAACACCAGTAGGTTTTATTGATGGTAAAGCTCCCGTCCACCCACAAGGTGGACTGACGACATCATAAAGGTAGCAGGAAGGCGCTGGACGCAGGCCGCTACCAATCGATTAACATGAAAAACGTTGGGGGAGCCTATGTTCAGCAGCCGTCCTATGGCTGAAATGATGATGATGATAAAGCTCGGACATATCTATTATTTTCTGATCGAAACTAAATCTATTGCCCAGGTTATCGCAATACTATCCCTTTATTCGTTGAGCTTTATTGGCACTCAAGCTGTATACAGACTGACTTAATATTCCATTACTAGCTGACCCGGCGAACTTTGTTCCGCCTTAATGGCAATAAATAAGCAGACTTTTTTTTTATTTCGAACGGGATAAAAAGTATCCTATGTCCTTCTCCTGGCTCTAAACTACCTCCCTGACAATTTTCAGCTAAATCGGTTCAGCCGTTCTTGAGTTATAAGTGGTGTAACTAACACGACTTTCTTTTATATATATAGATATCCACCCTTTTCTAATCGCAACTATTTTTTCCCCAGGCTGTCCAAAAACCGCATGCTAACCAAAGGCCAGCGTGAGGCGGTATCGGACTTCTTAGTGGCGCTGACTTCAGCGATGCAGCCGTCTATGTTACTGAAGCTGCTGAGGAAACTCACTGTGGATGTCTCCCGACTGTCTGAGTATACCACTGTGGCTCTAAGGGTGAGTTGCTGGTTCAGTATTTGCAGTTATAAATATTATAGAAACTAGCTTTTGCCCGCGGCTTCACGCGCATAAAATTATGTCTGTCACAGAAAAACTATATCGCGCGCGTCCATGTTTCAAACTCAAACTATGTCTCTATCAGATCACATCAAAATCGGTTCAATGGTTCAGGCGTGAAAGCCGTAACAGACAGACAAAGTTACTTTCGCATTTTTGATACCTACATATTACAAGGCATAACAATGTTATTTCTTCAATGCAAGATAATATCATCAATTATTCCAAGGCACACTTATCTAAACTAATGGACGTATTTTTAGGGTCCCGTATCCAGCAGGTATCAATGGAATCTTATTAGTATACCAGCCTTCCTTGATTATTGCATCTAAAAAAATATAATAAAAATAAGCTTTCATACAAAATTCGCACGATACCGCAAAGTAAAACAAAACGAGACATCGCGGTCTCTTGGTTGAATTCAGAAGTAAAAATTATTTTCTGTTCTTTTTCTTAGCATTTGCCAAATGTCTCGAAATAAAATTTACATGTGTAAAGGCTTTTTGAGAACAAAATTTCATCTGTAAGTAGTACTAATTTAATAAAGACATTTTTGATCTTGATTTCAGCTGCTAACCCTCCACTACGAACGCTGTGCCAAATACTACGGCAGCACAGGAGGGCAAGGGATCTACGGTGCCTCCTCAGACGAAGAGAAGCGGCTGACCATGATGCTGTTCTCAAACATCTTCGACTCGCTCAGCAAGATGGACTACGAGCCTGAGCTGTTTGGGAAGGCTCTGCCGTGCCTCATTGCTATTGGTGAGCGAATTACCGATTAATAAGAATAATAATAAATTTATTACTGTATAAAAACTTAGCCTAAACACGTACAAGTTTGGTTTCAATAAAATTAAGGTTAGTGTGCTATTGGTGAGTAAACGAACTAAAGTCGCTGATAGCCATCGGGCTACTCCATCGGGATTAGCAAGCTGAAGCGGCAATGGGCACTTGGGCAGGGCACATAGTTCGTTCGTTTCAGCCGAAAGACGTCCACTGCTGGACAAAAGCCTCCCCCAAGGATTTCCACAAAGACTGGTCCTGCGCCTTGTTCTCATATCCAGGTACCTCCCGTGACCATCACCAGATCGTCGGTCCACCTAGTGGGACGCCTGTGGGACGAGCGTAGGACGTCCACCCACAAATTGGATCGAGACCTCATAAAGGTACCAAGAAGGTGCTGGATACAGACCACTATACCAACCGGTCACTATGGAAATCATTAGGGGAGCAGTGTGGACGTCCTATGGCTGAAATGATGATGAATACGGGAGGACATGGAGTTGATCAGATTAAAGAGAAGCGGCTGACCATGATGCTGTTCTCAAACATCTTCGACTCGCTCAGCAAGATGGACTACGAGGCTGAGCTGTTTGGGAAGGCTCTGCCGTGCCTCATTGCTATTGGTGAGTTTCGAGACCCACAAGGTGGACCGACGACCTTATAAAGGTAGCAAGAAAGTGCTGGATGCAAGCCGCTACCAACTGGTCATTAAGGAAATCATTGGGGGAGCAGTGGATGTCATTTAGCTGAAAGAACAAACAAGGATGACTGACTATGTATTTATTAATGTAAATAAAGCTACTAAAACATAAATTAATAATTCTTTCTAATTCTCCACAGGATGCGCGTTGCCACCTGACTACTCTCTATCTAAAAACTACGACGATGAGTTCTATGGAAAAGAAACACAAGCTACTGGTAAGTGAAACAAAAAAATATTCATTGCGTTACTTAATTTTTTTATTTAATGTCGAAATGCTGATCACGGTCATGTGTCAATAAATCTTATACGTGTCAAGATGTTTGTGAAAATGCTATTTATTTGTGCAAATATTTTAACTGTCTGAAAAGTCGTTCAACTTTCTGTTGCTATACATGAGTTATCAATGAAACTGTTGTCCATTATGTGCGCTATCTTTTCAATAACTGTTCAAAGAACCTTTTCGAAATCTGTAACGAAGTTGCATTTGCGGAAAAATACTAAGTAACTTCCAAAATTTGTACAAACATCTTGACTGCATTACAACTACACTCGGCATCAAATAAATCGCACCTCCCGCGACAAGCACTTATCAAACGTATGCATCCCCACTTCCCACCAATATTGGTACCATTTGAAAGCCTAGTTCTAAACTTCATTTCATTAAAGGAAAGGTTTTTACCCCAAAAATGTGTCTTTACAAGGATACAGAGTCACTTCTTCAAAAAATAGGTAGTTACGCTATAGCCATTTTTATGACTATATAAAACTGTTAAGTTGGGATTAATCGCTATCCATCTGTTCAAGAGGACACGTGAGATCTTTATTTGGTTTTATAACCATAAAAATTGGTCTAATTGATCCCAGAGGTGAGCCCAAAGTGAGGTCTATTTTCAAGTCACATTTATGGTATATGTTAATCATTTATTAAGAAATTAAATGTATTTTGCTTTAAGGATATTTATTGGGCTTTCAAATAACATCAATATTGTTGGGGTACCATGATTGTGTCAGAAGAAAATCTTTAAAGTTCGCGTCGCGGAAGGTGCGGTTTATTTGATGTTGAGTGTAGATAGATTCAAAGCATGTGTGTATTCCAGGTGGTCCCGACAATCCTCAATACGATCCTCAACCCATCAACACGTCATCGGTGGCTCTCAACAACGATCTCAACACCATCGTGCAGAAGTTCTCGGAGCACTACCACGATGCTTGGGCTTCCAGGTGAGTTGATAGAAGTATGCTTGAAAAAGCAAAGCGTAAGGTTTGAAATTAGACGTTCAAATTCAAATATTTATTTGCACAATTTTGGGTAAACATATAGTTCTTAAAACTAAATGAATAGAGCTCCATTTGCTGTATAATTACGTTTTGAGACGGATGTTAATCGTGTACCAAACACACGGATCGGACCCCAAAAATTGGATGAGAACTTCGTTAGAATAAAAATCACTTGCAAACGCACGATTAACGACCGGTTCCTAACGTCGTCTTGGAAGAAATATTATTATGATATATTTGCAGATTTGTGGTTTTTTGAGGCTCAAAAATAAGGTGATAAAATTTTTGTTTTGATTAATCTTTAGTGTTTTAAAAAAAGAAATATCAATATTATTATACGTGCGTGCAGCATGAGAGCCATTTAAAATTACAATGCAACTACCACTCACAACCACACCGGTGTCTTACTCTTTGGCAAGGCTTGTACGAATAAAAACCTTTATGGCTATGACTAAATACTTATCAAAAACTTGAAAATACGTATTGACTAACTGATGATTATTTATAGGAAAATCGAAAACGGTTGGGTGTACGGCGAGTCGTGGTCCGACAGTCAAAAGGCGCATCCTCGCTTGAAGCCGTATAACATGCTAAATGACTATGTAAGTATACACTTCCCAATGCATTATCTCTCTCTCTCTCTCTTTTTTCCTCTTTCTATCACCGGGATTAACTATCTCCGGGAGTCCAGAACTAGTAACTGACCAAGTCAACCTACACTGGTTGTGGGTTTCATTGGAGGCCAAGCTGTAGATCCTGGCTATACAGGATTTGCAGTGATGGGAGTCTCTCTTCTTCCCCTCTCTCTCTTCTTTCTTTGTCTTTCTCTTCTCTCTCTTTTTCCCTTTCATGTCTATCGCAAAATACGCCTTAGGACCATTTCGTAGCCAAACTTTGCTGGGTACGAAACGGTCGAGAGGCCAAAATACGGATACAACTTGTTCTTTGAAGCTTATGTTCGGCAGTAGACGTCCTGTGGCTGAAATGATGATGATGAAGACGCCTCTGTGTTAAGCCTAATATCTTTACAAGTAGTAACGTAATATTAACAAATTGATCATTATAACAGGAGAAGGAGCGCTACAAAGAGCCAGTGCGTGAGTCCCTCAAGGCTCTGCTAGCCATTGGCTGGTCGGTGGAACATTCAGAAGTGGACATTCCCAGCACCAACCGCAGTTCTATGAGGAGGCAGTCCAAGTCTGGAGGCGTGAGTATAATTTGTCCCGGTTCAGTTGTTACTGTGTAAAGCCTGGCCCGTGAGCACGTAGAATTTTGTCCAATGACCCCAAGCTACCCATCCTTATCGCTCGCGCGTAATTATATTGCTGTCGCGACTGTGCGACGCGCGCCCGCAGTGAGTGTGCGAGCGCGACAGCAACATCATTACGCGCGAGCGATAAGGATAGGTAGCTTGAGGTCATTGGACAAAATTCTACGTGCTCACGGACCAGGCTTTAGGTAAAAACATCTTGACTTCAAAGAATAAAGATACGTATTTTCGTATAGGTTAAATACATTTTTGCGTCAAATTTTAATGAAACGTTCAAGCAATGACCATTATCATAAAATAAATACCAAGAAGTTGAAACTCATTTTAAAACAGGGTTTTTATTTTAATCAAACTTAATCAGATTTTTCGTGATGTTTTGAAACCTGTTAGGTATTATAGTTTGCAGGCCAAAAGGTTGTATAAATAAAAATATAAGTACATAGGTACTTTAAAACAATTCTTTTTTCACAAACAATAGAGATATCTAAATTACCTATGTTAGTCTTGATTCAAGATATCGATTTGTAATTTATTTTGATATAAACTATTGCTATCAGGACGAAGTGGAAAAGGTAACTTTAAACTTTTCTACCATTCAAATAACTCACTGTTTGCCCTTAATTCTTTTCAAATTATTATTATCTATGTTTCTATGAATGTCTACTATTTTATTATTAATTTGTCAATAATGTTTTCATACGTACATTTCGTTAATTTGGATGAACAGGGTATCAACTCAAATGTTTCAACTTTTTACTGTGTTAACTTAATAATCATCAATGAAAACATTTCATCACAAGTGAAGTCAAAATAATTAGAAGTGACAAAAATATTGTTGGAAGCTTGCTCTCCTAAAAATTTATTTTTGAGATGATATTCTGTTGATCTGGGCAAACGATTTTCTCCCTTTCACATCGATGTGTCTTCCTAGCTTAATGGTGCATGATAAAAAGCATAAATAACTAGATTTTTCCTTATTTTATGTTTCCCCAAAGTAAGGCTAACGTTACTCTGAACTCTAAAAATATACATAGTTCTTTATATTACAAAAATCATACCAGAATAATGGGTGAAGTCCACCACAAGTAATCGTATTTTTTTCCAATGATATGGTTTTTACAAATTACATAAATCTTATTGGTTTGTTAGCGGTCACGTTATTTGTAAATAATCGATTTAATGTTATGTAGCCTTAGCCTTGTACAGTCACGAGCAAAATCATGTATACAGTCCCGAATATCTCGCTATAGTAAGGTTTAATATTCATGAAAACGTATACACATTTTTGCAGGTAACTATACACTTTGTTGTGAATGTTATGATCTTGACCTAGACGAAATACCTTTGACTATGTTCACGTAAAATGTATGTCTGTATATGTAGCTCACGAATGTGGTGTAACCCTAATAATGTATGTTGTTTCCATATCCCCGCATCCCTACAGCGCCCGCCAGACATAGTGGTAAGTTCAATAATACCAATTTGGTATTATCTATGCACAACACTGCTTATATTACCTATCTGCACTTATTTTATCTTTGTGACTAATTAGCCTTTCTTTTTTTGACACATTTCGCAATTTTGGTGAATTTTTGAGTTGTATCATTTTTGTATGATGCTGCCTTTTATCTGTGTTTAGATTTTTCTTGTACTATTTCAATTAACGAAAAAATTTTCTCTGAAAAATAGTTTTCTGGTTTGTTTAGTAGAAGTAGAATGAAATCTGGAATCTAGTTGTGATATTATGACCATGAGGTATTTTAATAAAATAAATGTTAGATAGAATTTTACTAACTCTAAATCCAAATTTTACACAATGCATATTGTATAAATGACTATAATATGAAAAAGCTGACAGTTTCTTGCGCAGCTTCTTAGCAATGGCCTACCTTATTGTGAAGTGACTGAGTTAAAATGATTCTGGGTCATATAAAAGCGCTTTTAAAAAGCTTGATTGCAACAAATAAATGACTTATTTAACTTACAATAAGTGCTTCCCTAGAAAATAAGACTGACAAAAATCGACTGACCGAGTTTCTTAAGGTGCTTCTTAGTAATAATATCCAACGTTATTATGAAGTGACATGGTTAAAATCATACTAAGGCATATAAAAGAACCTTTAAGAGGCCGAATTGCAACAAAAAATATATTTCTTAGACTGCTTAATTGCTGTAATGTATGACTTTCAAAACCTCATTTTGTTCCTCAAAACAGACGGACTCAGCAACTCCATTCAACTACAACCCTCACCCTGTCGATATGACCAATCTGACGCTGTCAAGAGAGATGCAGAACATGGCGGAACGACTGGCCGAGAACGCTCACGACATCTGGGCGAAGAAGAAAAAGGAAGAACTGGTCACCAATGGCGGTGAGAAACTATTTCATCATCATCATCTTTTAGGATCATCCTACTAATATTATAAATGCGAAAGTTTGGATGTCTGGATATTTGTTACACTTTCACGCAAAAACTACTGAACGGATGTTGTTGAAACTTGACAGTATTATTATAGGTGTATAGCCTATATGCTAATCTGGGTTATAAACAATAATATTTATGACTGGCCCATTTATTGTCCTGAAGCAGTGGTAGGGTTAATACTGGGACGTGTAAAAGTGCTTTTTTAAGCCTATTTACAGAAATAAATGAGTTTTAATAATTTTTTTTGACGATATGTGACAAATAAATTTCAATAAATAAATAAGACGTGACTAAAAAGCGCTATCGTCATTGGTTAAAATCGACAGCGCTGGACAAACTACTGTTTTTGACGTTCATAAATATTCAAGCCGTGAAACGCCATCTATCAACATGATATCAAACAACAGATTTTACGAACTAAGAAGGGGTAAAACGAGGTCCACGCGTACGAAGTCGCGGGCGGCCGCTAGTTTCAAGAATATAACACTCCAATTTAACAAAGGCAAATGGAGGATTTGGCCTAAACACTTCATAAATCATTTCATACTTGTTGGGTTTCATTGGAGGAACTTTCAATCAACAACTAAGTAAGTTTCTCAAAGAAATCTACGGGGAAGACGCGTTTTATGCTAACCATAAGGTGTGACATTCTAATTTTTTATATCGTTTATCTTTATTCCTACCAGGTGGCATCCACCCTCAACTAGTCCCATACGACCTTCTAACCGACAAAGAAAAGAAGAAAGACAGAGAACGTTCCCAAGAGTTCCTCAAGTACCTACAATACCAGGGCTACAAGCTTCACAGGCCCAGCAAATCGTCGCCCAGCGACACAGAACAGACCACTACTGGGGTGGCAATAGAGCTCAGATTCGCTTACTCGTTGCTGGAGAAATTGATTCAGTATATAGACAGAGCTACGATCAATATGAAGCTGTTGAAACCGTCCACTACGTTTAGTAGAAGAAGCAGTTTTAAGACTAGCACGAGGGATATTAAGTTCTTTTCAAAGGTAAGTTCCTTTTTATTGTTATTTTAATAATATAATTTCTTTTACTCTAATTATCTTTAAGAAAAGGTTTCAAAACATAATTACAATCCAATTGAGCTAACTGCGCACCTCGCTGGAATGCGAATCTCCCTCGCACTCACTCGCCGCGTTCGCCCCGTCCGTACAAGAGCGTCAATGTGACGTCACGGCCGCGCAGTTAATTCGACCGGGTTGTAGTGTTTCGAATGCTAATGGAACAATTCTAAACCCTTAATTTATTTTAACATTTCTTTTATGCGTATTTTGTGTATTATATGTGTTTCTTTTTAAATTACAAGCAATGCAAGGCTGAGCTAAAATATATCAAAAAGGTACTTGGTGCCTGTTTGTCATGATTAGTTGTACTTTCACATATACATGCGTACATTTTAGATGTACTACATAATTATCTATTATATCATAAGAACATAAAACATAATACTTCATAATGAGATGCTTACTTAAACATTGACATTAGATTGTAAGTAGTAAGAATATCTCTCACTAACATTAAAATAAGTACATAAAAAACATTTCCATTTGCTGAAGAAAGAAAAAGACTATCAGCTCAAAAATAGTGAAATTACTTAGGTTCATATCGATCGTTGCGTTGAATCGTAAGATAATAGTTTAAGGATAAACAAAATATCACCTCAAATAGAGCTTTATTTTCATCCGATTTAATCTAGCATTGTAAGCCTAATTTCAGATTTACTGTTGTATAAAACACTAATAGTCCAGTCAAATTAGACATGAACCCTGCAATAATTCGCATACAGCTGAAAATTGGTACGAATGTTCGGAGCACCATTATGAATTAACTGTGAAAAGTCCCCATCGATCCGACGTGTGCTAAAAAAAAAATTCAAGGTCAAAGTTAAAAAATACGGGTTTTTAAGATTTTCAGCCAAACGGTAAGTTTTATCACAAAAATATATATGACAAGGTTTAAGACCATAGAATTATCTATTAAAATTGTCTATACACTTT